AAATGAATTTTGTTTGATTGTTATTGCATGATAAAGCGGTTTTGAAAGCCGGCGACGGTGGGCTGTAAGCTCAAGTCTCACATTTTGAACGGCATTCCATGAAAAGTTCCTCTCCAGCTAATGAAACCGATTTTTCAGTCTCCTTTTGATCAGAAAGAACCAAATTTATATTTATTGGCAGCATTCAAATTATAACAAGTTCTCATAACGGTATGCACAATGTAGCAAATGTTTGTAGCCGATGCACCAAATTATATGTGGAGGTTCAGTGGTTTTGTACTGTGAGGTGAAGGTTCAGTGGTTTTATGGTTTTCTTCCTGGATCGTCTTGGGATGATGCAATCGATGTCTAAATGTGGTTGGCTTGTCCTTAGCGGCGCACTAACCTTTGTGCTGTCACGGGTTGGACTTCCACGTTGCGGCGGCTTTTGCTCTTTGAAGAGCTCGTTGCACTTCCGGGTTCGTCGGGGGTGAACTTTAGACCGTAATCGATTGGTCTTCTGCCAACTTGTGCCTTATAACGGACGAGAGCATGAAGTTTAAATCTTTTATATGAATTATACCAAACAATGGGGTGAAACCAAACTTGGCGTGGTGCCAAACAGCTTGGTAGTACCTAGCAACCTACAATATACATGCATTACTACAATGATAATGTAATGACAATATGTGGTGATTGCGATATATGGTAATGCGAGTATGATTGAATGAGATGTATCGTTGTATGACGATATCATGAATGTTGTTATTGACGGAGCATGACTAGGCGGCGGAGCCAGTCTGGGGTTGCTATGTTCGCCCCGAAGTAGAAGCACAGGCGGCGGGATCCAGTGGGTGAGTATGTTGTGACAGCAGTGGGTCACTACTGACTAGATATGGGCAGAATCCCTTATCCGCTGTGGTAGGCCGAGCATAGCCTAGGTGAGTTTGCTCCGCCACGTAAGTGACATGTTCCGCTCACAATTCTATTGAGTTCATCTGACAGTTGTATGGACGCTGAGCAATCATGGATCGATAACGATTTGAGATGAGGTGGTCCGAGTGAAGTCACACTACCGTCCGGATGATGTCCGGCGATCGAACTGACTGCTGAGGTTAGCTGCAGCTGGGTACCGTACTCGTCACTTTACTAAGACGAAAGATCAGACACTAATCTGTCCAAGGTCCTCGAGCCTCTGCGATGCCATTTGCTCTTTAAGGTCATGGACCATCTGCGTTGCCTAAATTATCATGTGATTCCGGAAAAGATAGCAAAGCTCCCTTGGGAGGTTTGTTATACACAAACACTTTAGAAAAAGGACTCACTGAGCAAATCGTTTTCATTACATTCATTAAGAAGCATTAGCATTGTTCCCACAACCAATCTTATCAAGGTTTCATAAATCATACCCTATCAAATTCTTATGATATTTAGATTATTTAATTACAATAACTACCAAATTTCGTCTTAAACTACCTTGCTGTCCATGTAAATCTCCAAGCGACTTTATCGCATGCCATGCAAGACTTGAGTGCCGTTGACAAGGGATTACAATCTGGAAAACGACTTGATCTAAACGAGTCAACATTCACCGGCGAGTCGCGTTGACTATGAGTCAAAACTCTATCCTCTTACTGTGAAATTTCCAAAGAGCAATTTTTTTCTTCATTTTTTCTTAAGCCAGGCACGAGGTGTTATAATAATCATTATTCAAATAGCTGGTCTTTCGGTAGTCTTAGCTTCTTTCTTCAGATCCCAGATAGATCACGATGTCACAATCCAATCAGTGAAACACTCCATTACTCTCTTGAAGAATTCAACAGATCTACATCTCAGTCTCCATTTGAATAAATCTGAAGATATATAAAAAGCGGTGACTATGCTGGAAGTTGATTCGTTTTCGATGAGAGTAAAATATAGTTCTGGTGATTCCCTCAAAAAAGTAATGGAGGTGTTTGAGTGATCGGAGTGTGACAACGTGATCTTTCTAGAACTCTGAAGATGGCGAGACCGCCGAAACCTCAGCTGTTCGAAAAAATTGTTGTAAAGCCACGTGTTTGGCTTAAGAGGAAAACAAGAAATTGCCGTTGAGGATAACAGATAATCAGTATTGGGGACAAATTTCGGTACCGTTCTATTATGGCGGCGCCACTTGAGACCTTCGCTAAAAGCGTATTCCTTACTGTTATCTGACTATGTATGATTATCTGATAACTTAAATCAAATGAATTTTGAAGGTATATTTTAATTCTCATTTGCTTGTTTTCGACGCCGTGCCAGTCAAAATGAGACTTGTTCCACATTTGAAGATTTCTCGCTGATAGAAATTTCATAACAAAATTTCAACCACGAGCAAGTTCTTCTGATTAAGGAAATATGTTTACTCTTCAGAAAGAACTTCTTAGAGCTCTGAAATCCGCACTTGAAGAGTGGGTTTGAAAGGTCTGAGTGTGAAACCCAATCTCCTTGCGGTCTTTATAATGTTCGAAAAAGCTTTTCCGAGACCCAAAAATACCATTATAATCGGGAAAATTTTCTCTATCTAACTATCTATCTAAAGTTTGTTGCAATAAAACTTTTATTCAGCGAGAAATTCTCGAATGAAGAACAAAATCTTATTTTGACTGATATGGCGCAAAAAATAGGCTATTTGAGAAATTAAATATGCCATTGAAATTCACTTGATTTGTGCTATCGATAAACTGCAGAAATGTTTTGCAAAAGCAAAAAATTAGTTTTACCGAAGGCCTTAAATGGCCCTGCCGTAATAGAACACTCCCCAAATTTCTGTCGGTACAGTGAAAGGTGTTTTGTGGTAATTGGATGATAAATTAGTACTAAGTGTCACTTTATAGTTTTTGTTACAAAAGGTGTGTGAGACGCCAAATGATCCGAAGGTTCCTCAACTATGCTGATGTTGCAGTCAAAGCACAATCATTAAATTCACTCCACTTCAGTGGATAAATTTTCGCTCTGCCTTCTGTTAATGAGAATTAATGTGTTAATGAACACATTAATGAGATTTCGCCAATCTTCGTTTTCTACTCATTTGTGATAATCAAAGCAATTTTGAATAAGGTAGCAGCTAAACCATCATCGACAGCAAATGTTACTAATTATTTCCGTTCATTGTACTCTGTTGCTCTTGATCTTTTGACATTTTCGTTGAAAGATTCGTCATTCTTTGTTTCCTGCTCGTCTTCGATGAGCAACGCAATTTGCAAAAGGGTAACAACTGAGCTGTTATTACCGCCAAGTGCTACTAATCATTTTCGTCCCAACATTCTATAAGTTCTTAATTTCTCAACATTTTTGTTAGAAGAAATTCTCCTATCTTTTGCACATCTTTCCGTTGAGTCATGCAATAGCTAGCAAGAATTCATATTGACAGTACTCTAAATTATACAAATAATTTATTATCACAAAGAAAACATGGCTAGATAGCAATTTGAACAAGCCGTACAGTATCAGATCAAGGAAAGATCGAGAGATCAGATGACTATATATAAGTGAAAAACATCTCATTCATGAAACAGGAGTTCTAAGTCACTGTATCAGTTATGTGAAAAAAAAAGTTCAACCAGACTTTTCGGCGACATCTACCCCTGGTAGAACAGCAAAAATCAGGTGCAATCGCATGTCGCGTGTCTGAGACGGGACGCAAATAGTATTGTTTTATCTAGACGGTAGTCTTTAGAAGAGCTTGCTTAAAGTCTCATATCTCGAGACCTCCCGTGTCTCATCAATATACATTCCTTAAGTGATATGCTAATGCGGACAAACATTTATTCGGCTGATCTCTCGAGGACTTTGTGATCTTTAGAGCCGATTTTCCAAGTTATCGGTTCAAAAGAAGATTACGGGTAAGGCGATAGAGAACAGCAGCTCTTATGCGGAAAGATACCGAACTTCGAAAAAGCACTCATTAAGCCCACCGAATCCTCGTCGATTACTTGACTAAGATAAATGTTGATAGACCTTTTTACAACCACTATACAGATTTCTTCATTAGTCACATTATCTTACTTTTAAATAAAATGAAGTAACTATATTTGCTGTTACGTCTGTTCTACCTTCTCAAAGCTGATGTTGCTTTGGCGATGACGAACCGAATACTTTGCTCGGACAGATAAAAGCTGAACATTTTAGACAAACCTCGTCAGCCTCAGCAGGTTGCAGACCCATTTTCGCACGTGTTAGTTATCACCTTAAGTGGTTCCTACTCAGTAGAAAATCAATAGTGCGTACTATGCTTCTGAGTGAAAGATCAAATGATTTCATTAATCATCTTTCTATTTTCCTCCTGTATCTTGCCCTCAAACTCATCACGGGAGTCATCCTCAACGGGACTGACAAAGAACTCAACTAATAAACGCCTTGCAAGCAAGCAGAGCAACGTAAATGGTTTATTTTGATAGAATCTAGATCTTAGCAAACGAAGCTCACTGAACTATTACAAGAATATAAGAGAGCATTGTGTCTCACTTTCATCAGTTTGACAAAACCTTTGGCTCGATTATATTTTCTTTGTTGAATAAGCAAATAGCGTGGGGATAACGAAAAGGAAACTTTATTCTGCTAACATTTCAAGGCTTTTGACTTTTCACAGCCGGTGTTCTTAGTTGATTGTCCACAGCCGTTTGTCCTCGTTATGATCATCCAATTCGTTGTCATTTATTCGACCTCATTCTGTGGGATTCCGCTTCTATGAAGGACTATACAAAAGGGCTGCTGATGGAACTAAGCGCCTGTAGTGTCATTTTTTGCCACCGGCAATCTATATTGCAGTAATCAGTCAGAATTCATTTAATTTGATCTCCACTTGCGATGTTATGATGTTACAATATATAATGTGGAGTGGTGTGCAAAAACGTTCGCTTCACCTGGGATTCAAACCCAGATCTTACTCTTATCGGTAGCGAGTGCTGAACGGAATCACTGCTAACGAGCATTTTGCACACTACTCTTTCTACGCTACAACGCGCTTTCTACAAGCGTAGAAAGAGCAGTGTGCAAAGCGGGCGTCGGTAGTGCAGCGGTTTAGCACTCGCTCCCGGAATGAGAGAGATCTGGGTTTGAATCCCAGCTGACGCGGACGTTTTTACGCACCACTCTACACTAATGGGCCGTAATAGTCGATGTGATTATCAGCTAGCAAAGAGCGTTATGGCATTTTGAAGTAGTTGACGCTATTAAAGTATCATGGCGATATTATAGACAATGTAATGACACTAAGATGTAATATAATGGAGAAAGACGATACCCAAGTGGTTAGTGATGCAGGCGATCAGGATTAAAGTGCTAGTTTGACCCCCCCCCCCTCCATATTCTCTTACATCCAATTACTCACTACCCTATGGAATCTCCTACTTGAATTCCTGCGAGGTCGCAGGATTTGCCCATTCAGCATTCTACGTCAATCATGGATGAAATCCTCAAGCAACAGTCAAAACAACACGTTCAAAGACGTCAGTGGAAGATGCATGGAGGGAAGAATGAAGTGACAGAAGTGTTAGGGGCAGCACAGTAATATGTGATGACGAACGCTCAAATAAATCGTTGGCACTTCTGTAAAAGCGAACTTTAACCTCACACGCGGCAGCGTGACACGTTCGTTGACGACTATGTTCTGGCGCTAAAATGTAAGAGATTTCAGTGAATTTTGAAGTGAAAAATCCAAAGAAATATTTATATCTAATCCAACAGCCGATACCGGGTAATCTCATGACATTATTAGATATTTTTAGATAACAGATCATGCATGCGAACCCAAAAGGATCCTAATAGCTGAGAGTTAGAGCTTTAATTTACCATCTTTGGCTTTCACTACTGGTCGTTACACGGAATTCCTTCATAAATTGTCGATCGCGCGTGTTGAAGAGAACATGGAAGTACACTGTCTTTTTCCAAAACATCAGAACAACAGGAATAAGAAGCAGTGTTTTTGAGATTTTCTCTTTTTTCATTTGATGCTTTTACAGGTGATGTTGTTTTAACGTGATAGATGATTTTGAATTACGAGTAAATGTACCACATTCATCATTTATATGTAGATGTGTAATCCCTTTCCTCAAAAACATTTTAGCGGAGCACAGAGATTTTTCACAGAGTTTTTCTCATCTTTGGCATAGCGAGTATTTTTGTATGCTGCGGCTCTATTTTCACAAGTGTGAAATCACATGACTATGGGTATGTTCTCATATACTTTCTAAAAAGAGATGAACAATTTTTATATGCTTTGTTTCACCAGGTGATTCCGTTTCTCGCGGTGGTTTACTTTCTTTTAAGAAAGCGAATTTCCATTGAAGTGTACTGAAAGGGAGAGCCCTTCAAGCAAGTTCTCTCTCGTTCCCGCTTTTCTCTTCCTTTTTATCCAATTTGTCTATGCCTGTATTTGTATTTGCTCACGCTGGACTTTTCTTTTTTGCGTTGCTGTCTTCAACAATATTTCAATAATACAATTTGTTGTTGCTTATAATTTTTCAAACTCATAATAGTAGGCATCTACTTTGTACTTATCAGTTGTATCATCCGGGGATTCTCGGTGCTGATGACACATGAATTGGAAATGGCTCTACACTGCTCATCATGGTCATTACCTTATCGTCGCTTTACAGCCTTCGCCAAGATGCGGAACTTTTTTGTACCTGCTTTACTATACGCTGATTTTTTAGGCAATTCAACCGTCACACGAAAAATGCAAGTGTTCTTACTGCACCCACTAGCCTTCGTACATATACTGAAGTCAGTTCTGCAAATCATTAGCAGATGCTATCATTAGCGGTCGAGCAAGATTTGATGTGGTAGAATAAACCTTCACTTTTTTATTTTTAACCAACTCTTTACCGATAATAGAGATGCGATCCAATATTTTTGTTCGGAAAACTGTAGCAAAATTGACACTCTTTCAAGTCCGTCGAACTCATGGTCTTCGGTCACGTCTCCCTTTTCTTGCTGGTTATTCAGCGAGGGGCATCCCACTGGAGTGCTCTCGCCATGGATGACATGTGCTGTTTTGCGTAATTACAAGAGTTCTCTCGAAAGTTATGACTGTTTTGCTTCACAGAAAAAAAGTTAAATTACTCCGATCTAATCAAAACTGAACCTCTACTGAAGTATCAAAGCGGTGTCGCCTCCTGTTCATGAGAAGGTTGTCGATCAATTCACGATCTTGTGGTACGGAAAGCCCGTATCCATCTTTCCATCCTTTTGAAGAAAATGAATTCACGAGCTTTGCTTGATTAAGGAAGAGTCGAGTGCTCTAAATAACCCTGCAAAACGGTTTCCATTAAGGATTCAGTTTCTAGTACGGAATTTCTTCATCCTGTATCCATTTGAGGCACACTTTCATATTCTGGCACTGAAGTCTCCAACTGTGATTCTACATATGATTTTTCTAGGATGCTTTCGTTCCGGACTACTTTTTCAACTTGGTTATAGGAGGCCTTCAATTACTCTTGACAGCTAAATAAGTTGGTGAACAGCAGCTGATGATACTGATTTTCCTTTTACACGAAGGTCTGAGGCGAAGAGTGACACCACACTTGAACACATATCATGTGAGGTGACATAATGGAAAAAAGATGCAGCTCATACGAACATTTTGGTAGAAACAGCTTGCTTATACTTGCTTCAAGATGGAGCCATCGTGCGCACAAATTCGCTTGTTACTCATTCGCGAATGGCGCGTAGGAAAAAATGCTAGAGAAACAACGCGAAAAAACAGTGGGGCTTTTGGGGATGATACGGTTGCAGAAGAACGGTTAGGAAATAATTCGCGAAGTTTAAAGCTGGAGAGAACAGTTTGGAGGATCCTCGCGCTAGGGCCACCCACAGGAAGCTTCATTAATCTTGCGCACCGCTGCACTAGCATATTCCCTACGCGCTATTTGTGCCGAAGTAGCAAGAAAATATTTGGCCACGACAGCTTCATCTAAAGCAAGTACAAGCAATTTGCATATCAGAATGTTTACAATAAAGTGCACAGTTTGACGGTGCCAACGTCGTGCAATTTTGATTACTTCTGGTTGTTCCCCTATGCCAAAATTTTTGGGTGACCTAAAAAACCTTTTTGCTAAAGTTGACAATAGATAACCCCTCTATGATTTTTAATCCAACGCCATAATGTCTACCTTGAATCTAATTTTTGCCATAAATATTGCATATACTCGAACCTGTCGCTTGCTGCTCATTTTTTATCCATCTAAAAACTCAGAAAACCAATTTTTTGCAAACCGCAGCACAGTACGTAAAATTCTTATGCCTCACTCAGTAACATATTAAAAAAATAGCTCGCTCTGCTAGCTTGTGTCAGCGGACTGTAGTTGATTGAGGCAGTATCCGCCATACAAAGTTTTGTCGAGAATGATATCGCTGCTGCTCTTGAACACTCAAATTCACCTTTGTTACTAAATCGGCTACAATTTCGCCGCTATTTCACCTTCTCGTTCAAAAACTATTCTACAAGTCAACTTACCAGCTTGTTTAATCCCTATCTAAATCTCTTCCTCTACTGTGTGGGTTCCGGTGCTCTACCACTCTATTCGCCTCCACTCTTGCTTGAGAATTTCATCTTCTTCACGAACGCCGTATGATACTGGTCAAGTCGGTCTCCATTCAATCTCGAGGATAGCCAGACTAGGGTGTTTGTTGCAGATTATCAAGAAGTGTTGGGGCAGTGAAGAATAAATTTCACGTTGACTCGCGCTGAGCACCACTGGCCACTCGGCCACAGCTTCCTATTCTGCAATGCAGTCCTCTTAAATCGTCGTAGATATGACGCGATTACATTGTTTTTCTCCATGAACAGTTTTGCTGGATGGTGGCACGTAGTGGTACAAACGGTGGAAACATACTGGTTAGAATGGGTGGACATAGAAATACATCTGCTAAAGATTACGTGTAATATACTCTATTTCTGCCATTTCCTCAACTTAACTCCTAATATAGACAAACTATCGATTCGGATCAAAATTTGTATTTATAGCAAGCAGCTATCTTGTATCACTTATGCACGCTATCGTATATAATGTAGGCGGAAATTAGACATCCCGCAAATTTCATCTTTTTGTTATGAATGCATTTACCAGAATGCAACAGTACTACGAAGTCGTAGAACATAGGTTATGTCTTGTTCTCCTAATATTTGGAACTCTAAAAAGCTTTTTAAATATAAAACCACTCCGAGAAATTTGGAAGTTTTTGTGGATGTAGAACATTCTGAACAAATAGCATTGTTGCCTCATATTTCAATAGTATCAAATGTGTCAAAGGAATACGCAAATGTAGCGTGAGTGGCAAAATCAACAATTTTAAGAGCCCAATTGAAGCAAAAAAAATCTCTGGTATGCTGATCAAAATTCTTCAAAGACATGTTTCTTAGTTAAGTAATTTTAGGTTAAGCAATAATTAATTAGGACTCAAAGCTACTGTTAGCGTTGCCGTTACGAGCAGATTATTTTCTAAACTGGGTATTTCATAGCCAGGTAAGTCATTAGATGGTCCACCAGGTTAATCCTTTTCAGAAAGTTCGATATATCATACTTATTGATCATTTTGTATGCCCTTCAGTATTCTCTTCGGTTCTTGTCATAACAAAGTTACTTCCACAAATATGTTGTCTTCATGCATATAGTTCCTGATGCGCTACCTCTAATTGTGTTTCCAGGTACACTTACCGTTTTTAGAGTTGATGGACGTACTTCTAGCTGTGCCACTGTCGACGCTGAATACCATCGAAGCGGTGTTTCGATCTATCGAAATAATAATACAAATACAAAGCATGCTAGTGGCTATCGTATTCACTATTGTATTCTCTAAAATTCGGTCAATACATCTAAACTTAACAATCATCATTAGCAGTTTTATGATATCGTGCCTGATTGCGTCAGTCCTCAGGATGTTCACAGCTGTTCACGAATTGTGTACTCCTATAGAGAATCAAGAATCTGAAATGCATGACTTATGGCTAACTTTGCGGCTAGGTGCTGTATATGCAGGTATGCAATGCGACAGTATTAACAGAGCTTGTTCTACCCGAACACTCCCAGTTTGTTAGATAATATTGAGGGACAAATGCCCACTATTTGATACAG